TGCTTTCGCCGAATGTATTTTCGATCGGGTTTTAGTCGCGAAAAACGGCCAATGGAGTCGCAATTCGTCGCGTCGTTATCCAAGAGCCCGGGGGCTGATTACACATCTTTCGTAGCAAATGGCAAAAAGAGAGGCGAAAATAATCGAAAAGGAGTAGAGTCGCATCAACGACAAAGATATATTGCTGTTTGAATCGCTTTCAACAGATCGACGTGGAAAAATGTTTAATTTCGGTAAACTCCACAGCAAATTTGATATACAGACAAACAGCACATTGCGTATATATACAGGGTGTCCCAGATCCCAGAAAATAGCACAATCATATGCTCATAGAAATATTAAGTTAATTAGGATCGACATTTTTTTTATTTTTGATATTTTACAAAACAGTACTATTAAGGTTAGTATCTTTTCAAACTACGAAAAAATATCTCTGTCACAAAGAGAAATCAACAAAAACGACCATTTATCGTATTATTTTGTGAAAAATTCAGATTTTAAAAAGTTTTTTGAAACTTTTCTTTCATATCTTTACTTTGATCTATGTTCAGAAGTCGTTTATCCACGTTCAAAAGTCGTTGAGCCTTCGCTGCAAGTTGTCACATATGAAACTTTGTACGACGAATCTAACCGTACGTCATGGAATACAAGCGTGATCGCCGCCGTTTGGATTTTAGGTGAAAGCTCGGCATGTTGGTGCAATTCAATGTGCGGCGAGACAGACAAACGCGCATTTCCCTACCGGAGTTCTGGTCCAGACAGACCAGATCTGCTTTCCCACAGATGCGTATTTAGCAATCAGTGGCCAAGGAATCAATCCACCGAGTAAGCATTCCGGCAATTGAATTTGCAACGACTATCAATTCACGCACAATATCCACCCTTACAATACATTGGGTTCTTGTTTAAAATCGATGTAACGTGAACGCATATAAAACTCTATTAATATTTAATTTTTAAAAAATTAACAGGTCCATGTAACATAATTGTAGTGTAATTGGCTAATTTTTATATTCTACACTAAAAAATAATTAAATGTCAAACATTACATTATTATTTTATTCTTTTGTACGCTTTATAAAAATCTGGAAAAAGATGGAATGCTTTTCACAGAAAAAAAGTACTTGAATTAAAAATGATTAATCGGATTGTTAAAAAACAGGCGGTATACAATTTTTCTCTGCTAATATTGGCAGCATAATAATTTCGTCGCGCCATTCAATATTGCTTTTAGAGATAAACTGCCGAAATAATTAACCAGATAAAATGTTATAGTTACATGTCATCTGCAAGAAAAAAAAAGATATGTAAGAATACGCGCTCCATTCGTTACTTCTTATTTGAACAGCCGGAGTTCGCTCGTCGGACACGGAATTTCACAGCGGCTTGGAGGAGTGAGTAGCGCAACGACACACAATCATCGGCTCTCGTACGATCGTCACAGTAAGCGGAACGTGACGTTGGCGAAATGCACTTGCACGTAGGATAAACGCATCATTCTAGCTGGATTCCGTTGCGTACAGACGATGCATTTCGTCACGGAGAATATTCAATGTACCCGCGTCTGATCTTGTCACAATAATCCGTAAATATTGTTCTAGAAATGTCAAAAATGCAGCAACATCTTTCTTCTTTTTCACTTAGGAAGTTATTAATTAGATATAAAGTTAGATCAAAATTAGATTGCTCAAATTAGATATAAAATTATTACAAAAAATTGCGTCGCTTTTAAAATTCCCCGAGCTCAAAATTCTTGCAAGAATCGTCTGCTTTTTAGTTTTATTACATTTGTTGGCAAATAATATTTTAATGTGTAATAAATTTTCACAATTGTTCAAATAATTATTACGCAAATTACTCATAATTAAAGAAAAGCCTTTCGAATATAATTGATTCTTAATTTCAAGCGTTAAAGTATATATTAGCAATTTTTGTACTTTTTCGAAAAGTATACAAATGTGTAAAGTGCACAGAAATGTTTGGAAATCCTCAGACATATCTATTGCCTATTCTTGTTCAAAGCACAAAGCTACGCGCGTGACATTTCGACGAATTCATCGTAACGGCGCGTAAATGTACGATGCATTCATTACCATTTATCCCGGCACGGATTCCCGACATGGCATAGCATGCGCATTACTAGTAGAGAAGGACAGGATGCAGTTACACACGCTATGCAGGGATAAGCGCACTTCCCTAACTTCTCTCCGTCGCTGCCTGCGCACGGCCGCCCGCCCTCTTACTTGGATTCCAGTCCAGACAAACAGGCCTTGCTCTCTCACAGTCCACGCGTTTCGCCAAGCAAGCACAACCCGCGCGCGAGGGTGTTTGCGTATCCCGGCAACCCCCCCTCCCGCCCCGCACGAGATTTGGGCTCTGGGCTTGGCTGGCTCGGTCGGTCGGTCCCCACCGTACACCGTTGTGTACTACGCGACAACTGCTAAGTGCTGCAGCAATCCGGCATCGACGCCTCTTACACGGAATTACTGTTAAGCGCGCACCGCTTCGCGCGTTTCCGCCCTAAACTGATTAGTCCCTACGATTCAACAGAGTATCTCTGCCATGCGGCGTGGCGCCGTGAGGAGAGTAGGAATCGAGAATTACACGAGGATGCCTTTCCTCCTCTCCGGAACCCGTCGTTGGCCAGGAAGACAGTCGAGAGGTGTCAACGACTCGCCAATTCGATGCGAACACGTCGGCTGCAGGAATTTTAGAATTTGAGAGAGTAACGCGGCTCTCATCATAACATGCTTAATCCGCTACAATGCAGATTCTTCCGCATTTGTTTCCGTACAAATGCAAAATATTTTATGAACATTTTACAGCAATAATGATAATGATCAAACAGCATCGACGTTTCATAAAAATATACATATGCGTGTCGTATTTTTATGCAAATATTTTGCCCAATAAAATAATTGAAATACAATATGTGTGAAGAGAGCACGCGGAGAGAATATATTTTATAATATGGCAAATTAGATGTAAAATTTTTGCATATCAGATAAATCGGATGAACAATATTGCTCATCGAATAAATTGAGAGAATGTGACTAAAATAATGCATGCGTAAAAATAAGATTACACCCGGAATAAAAAATAAAATTCAAGCTAAAACATATGGGAAGAAAATAAAATGTTAAACTAAAGCGAAATTTATCCGGTGAATATATTAGCCGTGTTCTAAACTAAATAGACTATGAAAATTCGACTACTTCCAATCGAAAGGAGTTAGAAATAGAAAATAAGTCAGCGTTAGAAATATATATATATATCATATCGAGAGAAGAAAGGGAAAAAGCTTCGATCTCAATTATGTATTCATAGCTGGAAAAGGTATAACGTGCACGAGGGTGGCCGTAGAAGTCAATAGAAATGAAATATCAACGCTAGGCCCCCATCGCTCGCACTGCCTTCCTCTCGATCGCCTTTCCAATACGGGATCTAAAGTGTTTTTCGATATCTCGAAAAATTCCAACGCGCCACCACGCGCCTCTTCGTCTTGGTTTTATTTCTCCTCTCCCGGGTGCAAGGCCGATTGCATGTGCAGTAGTAATATAACTACCTTCTCCGGCGCGTATCTCACCGGCAAAAATCGGTGGTGGACCTGAACGCCGCCTCGAAGAAATACACACAATCGTAACTCGGAATATTTCTCACGTGCGATACGATATACGGACGGATAGAATCAGATAATAGTAAATGTATGTCTAAAAATTTCGTATTTTGCGACTAATAGATACACAATTGCGCATAAATTAATTATGAAATACTATATTATGATATAACAAAGAAGCAAGTATAAAATTATAAAAATTAAAACTTTCACATATTCCTTCTTCCATTTACGCTTATATCCAATGAATAGAATTGGTTACTATTATATGTAAACAAATTCAATTTGCACAGGAATTTTCTCTTCGCCTTTTTCAACGCTGTAAGTAGATTTGCAAATAACTTTATCACTCTCGCTAATGCTAAGACGCTTAAGAGCTGCAAGCAACTACAAGTCAAGCTATCGAGGGACTTCGATCTTCTCTCGGTTTGAATATGAGATTACAAGTACACGTTCTTCGATCCGGATTATTCGCGAGGAAACAATGTTGTTTGGCGCGCGCGTGATCCACTTTAGGATCGGTGACCGACCGCAAAGGCGCATGGCGTGATTCTACATTGCGCATTACCACATAACGATACAGCCCCCGCGTATCGCGAAGAAAAGAAGGTAGCGCTCGTTCGTGGCATTGTTAAATCGTTTAGATGTATTTCATCCGGAAAGACGTGCACGAAGGAGCGGTGCTTCGCTCCTCGGAAATCGCGTCCGCGCCGCGTATGTATGCGTTTTCGCTGCGAGAATGTATGCAGCATGCAAAGCCCTACGATCGATGCATTAAATAACCTTCTGCATTCAAATTTGATGTGGCTCGCTCCTTTGGTAACCCTCGTACCTCGACATAGTTTTCTCAATCTATTAGGGAGTTACTGCGCTCGCAGAATGATTTGTACACTGCGAGTATCGAGATAAATCAAGAGGAGGAACGTAATTGGGGGACTTTGTGCAACTGGTCGTCGTTTATTAATCACAATTTACGTTGTGTTGTCATGGAAAGTCAAAACCGTGGAAGTAATATATGAAATAACTCGAATTTTCGAGTATTGCAGGTATTTGAGTGTGATATTAATGGGCTGCGTGTTATTAAAACTAGATCTGGACTATTAATTTAAAACACTACGCTGCCATAATAATATATAGAGCATGCTAAGTCAGCTTTAAGTAAATTGTCGAATAAAAATACGGTATTATGTTAATAAGTACGCATTAGTATCCAGATGGCTGCTGGCCGTACTCGCGGAGCAGTACTTATAAACTTGTGTACGCGCTCTAGTTTTGCCTCGCAAATGAAAGGCGCGACGGGGCTGAGGAGGCTCGAGTTTTCTCCTCGCGCCTCTTAAATCTTAAGCAGAGACAAATGAACCTGCGAAGTCTATGTGCGACTTACCGTTAGGCGGGAACTCGTAGAAGAACGCAGATCTCGGGCTCAGACAACTGGAACAGAGGAAAATTACGGTTAAAATATGCTAACAATTAAAGGGACGTTGCCGCTTGGCAGACCGCCCGGCGTCTACACGCTTTTCCGCTCCGTTTCCCATTCGTTTTCGTTCGCGGCGATATTTCGCCGTGGTAACGCCGGTTTCCGGACGAACACGATCGATACACGGTAGTATCAAAGTGACGGGTATTGATGTTAAGCGTAATACAGTGGCTAGTCGTCGAGATTTAATACTTCCTTTGATATGTGAAATGGATCAACTCGCGCGCATTTCGATACTATTACGCGCCGATAATGAATTTGCTAGTGTTTGCAGAGTTAATTTCAATTTAATTAGTATGTAATACGATGTATTATAGCGACGCGATTTGGCTTTTCGTTCGAGTTTAACGCAACCGTTTGCGTAATGCACAAAATAGTATTACGTACCGCAAATTGCTTGCGGAATATCTTTTTAGCGAGAGCTTTGAAGGGATTATCTTTTCCGCGAAATGCAAAAGGAAGCGATAAAGGAATAAAGACAATTATTTTATATATATATATATATAAATTTTATCTAATTACATAGATATATAATTGTTCAATACTGCTCTGTTGTAACCTAAAATAATTTATACAATACTTTGGATAATAATGTGAATAACATCCAAAACAGTTTGCGTAAATTTATAACGAAAGCAGAAAGATCTGACATTTCCATTTTTGAATAATATCTCACAATAATAATGGAAAACAAAGATTATTCTGTTTCATGCATCCATGTATGACCTCCCTACAGGCACCAAATTATGTAATGATGGTCAAAGGTCGCATTATACATGCGGTTTAACAAATGCGCAATTCTGCGTGGTAAAATTGCAGAATTATTACGTCGTTAACGTAGGTTTCCGTGGCGGCACACGCAGTCCCCGTGTAACCGTACGTTGTTCACTGAATGATTGTGCAATTTTTTTTTTTTTTTTATTCACGCGCCTCTATGTAGACTATCATGAACGAAACAAGAGATCAAAGTGGTTTACAACGTGTAGCGGTATTTAATTGACTAACAATTACAGTCATTGGACAGTCCATTCGTACGCGACGGCCCGCTTGCGGAATGCAAATATGTACGTGTGCATGTTTGAAACCGTGCGAAAGTACAAAGAGACAAGTAAAAAGAGTGAGAAAGAGAGGGAAAAGGACAGCAGCATTCGTTTAGTACTATTTGTTAATACTTTAATTGCTTTGCCGTATTAACTAGTCAGATTATATTTTATTAGATAATTAATGAGTTATAAAGAAATAAAAGTCCATAACGCTATTTTTTGCTTGTTGTTTGCTTTTCTAGAATTTCAGATTAAATAAATAAAATAGTTTCTCAAAATTTTAGCTCACCAAATTATCTATTAATTTATAAGAGATTATTAAAAGAATATTAAAATGTAAGAAAGAAAGAGTAATATAAGAATATTAACATTTTATTCATTATTAGCGACCGAAATCTTATGCTATAAAAATTGGTAGGCCTGGCAATTTAAAATTCACATATTTTTCACTACAATGTATTGAGATTTTACATTTTAAACGGAAATAGTTTAGTGCGCGACGCGCGTAATTGAATGTTTTATAAAAGATAAAAGATATATGAAAATATAAAGAGATTTATGAATTCCAATACATGTCCCGGGACATGTAAAGCCATAGCATCGTCGTAAATGACGGTACTCGCTGAAGTATTTCAAGTATTCTCCCGAGCAGTCGATCGCTTACGGTGGATCACGTCGGAATGTGCGCACGGCGATTTCCAGCTAACGTTAAGGGTCGAGTCAGGAGCGTAGGCTAATCGTCTTATTGGCTGATCCAACATTCTCGATTCTATCGAACGCTCTACAAAGCGATCCATTGTAGGAAGTCGAGAAGTGTCCCCGAATAGACACACACGCGCGCGCGCCCGTGTTCAATAATGGTGTGAGGACGGCAGAATGGCCCGCGGAATGGAGAACGACGAATAGGCCGGCAGTTCACGTGCCAGAGAATCGGTAATAGATCGCGTCGTTGCCTCAGCGTATCCTGATACACCGCGCCGTAATACTAACCGCATACTAATAGGACCCTTTGACGAAAAGCTAACATCTCAGCGGGGTAAACCGCGCTGCAATTCCGGTCGGACCGCTCTCAGCCTCGACGGCGCGGCGGTCTCTTCCTGTCTCAGCTACGGTCCACCATCCGGAATCGATTGCCTTGAGTGGCCTCTTCTTCTGAATGGATTCGTAATAGATTCTACCGACAACGTAGTACAAACGAAGAACCGTTACACTATCCGAGCGATATCAGCGGCTTATTATTCGCGATTTGTTCGTTTCGCGAGAAAGAAAATACCGGCTCTACACAGATGTCTCAGAAATGTTGGCATTCTTCCGTCAATTACAAATTTTTCGATCAATTTAGACACAACTTTTATTATCAAAATTTTATAAAAACGTTATCATTAATTGTATATTTATTTATCAATACTATTGATCGCAGTAATTTTGATCAGCAAAATCGGTAAATCATAAATATAAATATAAAAAGTAGAAATTGTGCTTTTTAAGCGATTAAATCTTCAGAAAATTAAGCTGCAAGACTCGTAAAAACCCGACATTTATTTGGCCGAGACCTAAGCATCGTAAAATCGATTGCATTTGTCATGGTTCGAACGATACAACTGTATTGAAAAGACTTCCTTTCTCACTTAAGCTTACAACATCCAAGACTTGGAAGAAGTGATTGCTTCCTCCTTAAGTAACGACGAACGTCGCTATGTGCCGAGTAGCAATCGATTTAGAGCTGTTAAGAGTCATGATTACCACGGCGAGTGGGCGTCGGAAGAACCAAACTCCGAGTCGTACGACGCAAATGGATGGCGGAACGTTTCCGCCGCCCGCGCAGGGAATCTTGATGAAACTGCGGTACCAAAATCACCGAAGTAAGCGCGAAAGCTGATATAAGATACTCGTATGCGAGACGGTTTATCGTATAGGATTGAAAACAGCAGAAAAGCACGCGGCTCGATTGTTTTTAACCCGTTCTCGCTGCCAAGTTCACAAATACTCGGGTGCTATGCAAATTTTTCCGATGGAACCAGCAACGAGCATCCTCGACCGTTTACGTTTTTCATGTTGCTTCTCGCTCCTTGCATACGGTTCTTTCAGAAGATTAACTTTAAAAAAATTTGTAAGATATTTGAATTGTGCTGCAGCGTTTAGCAGCAGAGATTAATGACACAGCGTTGCGAAGAAAGCAAGGATAAAATTCTGAATATTCTCTCGAAATGTTTTGAATTTTTTATTATATTCCTTGCATCTCTCAAATATTTTTAGATTCTTTTCGCCTTTTTTGGATTTTTCAACTCAACATATAATAATTTAAAGAGATATAATTATCTAAATATTTAGAACTTGTGATGTGTGTGTATTCTCATATCCACGTAACATTTAGTATCAATTTAAAGCAATTTTAGCTAAACGTTACATTTATAGTAAAACTATGCTATGTGTTTGTAAAACAGTTTTGTGTTTATAAAAAACCTTCTAATTTTGCATACGTTTAAAACATGACCAATGGTAACTAACCAAATTGCAAACTAAATTTAATATTTTTTATGGATAAAGACACGTCTGCGGTTGACGCTGAATACGCAGCGCGCAGTTGCCGAGAAGGGCATAGAAACGGCACGTATCCGGTTTGCTGCATTAACGTGATTCCAGTATAATCACGCGCGATACATTTGTAATAATGAATGAATTTACGAGAGAATAGCAGTTTCCGTCGTTATTCATAAGCGCACGTTTCCTCGTTGAAATTTCAACAAAGTCCGCTATTTTTATTTAACAAAAATAATCGCGCATTTCGTATAAAATGTACATCACCGCAAAATCTACACTTAATACATATTACGAGATTGCATTATATTTAATAATCGTATTTTTTTCATGCGAAGTGATAAAAATCTAAATTCTATATTATCTACAGACACATGGTATTATTTTGATGCTTCATAATTTTGAAACAAGATTCAGATATATAGTAACGTTAAATCATTTTTAACGTGATTTTAATTTAGTGACAGTAGTGAGAATGGTGATAATAATAGTATATAGAGTAGATCAATAATAATATACACTAGATAATAACAATAATAAAAGAATTTTCAACAATATTATTTTCATGTATCCAAATATGTTATGAATGCTGCGCCATAAAGATAATAAAATATTATCCGAATAATCATAAAATTTAAATCTGCTGCATTGAAATTGTACTGCCGTGTAAATATACTTGCGTGAGGTCGTGCGTACGAGAAGCAACGATGGCGATTCGACAGCTTCATCCGGGGGTGTGATCGAAAAATCTGTTTTGTCCTACCGGATAGATCGATCGAAACGTGCGGCACACGGCCAACAATTGTAGGCGGCCGGATGCGAGCACCGAAATATGGAAAGGACTAAACTGCGATTATACGCGGAATGATGGGCGCGAGGTCGAGAGTTTCGCAGCGCGGATAATCGAGCGCGCGTATTTTGGCGCGCGCGGCGACGCGACGCGACGCGACGCAGCGCGACGCGCCGACGAGTCGATAGGATTACCTGCCCGTCGACACGACAAAACCGACCATCGGCCCTGGCTGTCAACACGTCAGTCAGGCTTTACTTCGCCGCGTTATTGTCCGTTTATTAATTTATGACCACGGCCCGTGCGATTGTTTATAACGCGAATGTTCCGACGCCCGCGCGAATGCGGCTACACGTAGCGCGCGGTTAAGCCGTTCGGCCTATCGTTGGCGGTCGATTAATTCTATTATAAATTATTTCGAGCCCTATCGTTACAGGGATACACCGACGACGGTAACAGACACTGGTATAGCGTTGACAAGGATTAAAGTAAAATATACGTAAAAAAATTTGAATGGAAAGGACTTTATCATATCGACTTAATCTCGATGTGCGCGATTTACATAAACGAATCGGCGCGTCGTGTAAACGAATTCCATAGAAAGTAAAATAAAACGTGTGCGTCCGAAAAACCGGACTGTCTACTGCATTATGATAATGACGTTGCGTTCGCGCGCGCAAATACCCTCGCTGGAAAGACGTGACGGCCAGCCACAGGCCGGCCAGTTGCATCATCGGCGGGTAATCGTTAAACGCATCATCGACCGTGTGACAAACGGTCAGCGTTCGTCGGCCGTGTGCGCAACCGCGTATAATTAATGCACGCGATCCATTCGTCAATCGGACGCGATATTCATCTCCGCGTTGCTAATGAATTCCGCGATCATCGTCTAGCCGCTTCGACGCGCGTTCCGACGGCGAGCACGATGGATTCTCTCGCTCGGAAGACGGATAAAAGCGGCTGTGTGCAGGGCCGGCCGGTTGATATCCCGCAATCTCATATGTACTGTTCCTATCTCGAGAAAGATATTTATTGTTGCAAAGTAAAAGGCTGAATTAGTCACGCAACTGTCGTTAAAAAAAAAAAAACATGAAAAATATCACACATGCTGTTTTATGTCTCTCGTTATTATCTTGTATTTTTTAAAGAAAAAAATATATCCTTTTTCAACATTCATCATTCATATGATGAATTCAATATTGAATATATTTAAATACCTAAAAGTCATCGCAAAAGAAAAATTGATTTCGTTAACGTCATAAATATGATAGATATATTCGCAGCTGCGACCCTGATCGTGCGTGACAGCGGGAGAAATTCGCAAAAAGCAGCTCATCGTTTTCAGCGAGAAGATAGTTGTTGGGTCACGGTGAATCTATTTAGAAATTGTTGCGTCTATCACGAGTCCGATTGGAACATCGGGCGCGAAAGGCAACGTGTATCTTATCGGTTTTTTTTTGTTTTTTTTTTTTAATGTTTTCGCGGTTCGTCTTGTAACGATACCACGCATGCTTTATGGCACTGCGATAAATTACCGTGAAGTCGGTAATTATTTTGGCGTATGTAAGCAAACGGAGACTGCGCTCGACTCGTTGTACCAACATTGCCCAGCGTTGCGATGAAATTTATGAGCCCATTAAAAATCCCCGCCTAATGTCCTTCGAGACGCAGAAATTTCTTTAAGCAAATAACTTTCCAACGATATGCGATAAAGATATAATATTACATTCGTCCGGTTAATGATAATTCTCTCACTGATGACCGCCGCGCAATTACAGTTACTCTCACCGTCTAACTTTGTGTAAGATATCTTACATCTCGCTATAAAAAATTAATCAAATGCAATTAAACACGGTTGGTTTAATTGTATAAGCGCCAATAAATACAGAGAGATAATTGTATTGAGTTTTTTGCAAACAAATTAAATTCTACAAGAGGAAGGATTTTTTGTAAATCTTTTCTTAATATTTATTAACTTGACGGTTTGATAGCTATTGATTGCTCTCCGCGGCCATAATTATTTCCTTTCTTTTGTTTTTATTATCATCTCTTTCTCTCGATCTTCCTTATTTAGGAGAATAATGGAAGAGTGCTACTTTCGATTCTCGTTATTTATAGTGGCAGAATGCCAATTAAATCCGCAAAAAGCTTCACCCAATCGATCGTTATTTCCAAGCAATTAATTTTATAGTTGCCGCAAATTAGTGGCATCAATAGATTGAGCGATAATTCTAGTATGTCAAGGTCCATAATAGCACATAGTGATTTATATTTTAACATTTTCAATCTACAAATGACTATTTCAAACTTCATTAAATTAACGTTTAAAAAAAAACTCCTAAAAATTTGTAAAAAAAAATATCTCCGTCTTTTTTTATCTGAAATCTAAAATCTACAGAATCCGTTTTCGATAATTCCATGAACGTCGATATCATTGATTCGCGGACACTCACAGTTCTCTCACGAGACCAGTGGAATTCAGTTCAGATTCTACGTTATTATGAGCAGAATCGCAAAGCACGGATACCGAGAACGCGGATATGGTCCGTGGAAGCGTACTCATTCGCAAAAACGGGCGTGCTTATCGCAGTAGCGAGAGGAGAGAGCAGTTTCATGGGTTCAGCACTGTGCTTATTCGCGCGTGCACGAAAACAGTCGATGGCCACGGCGCGATAATGGAATTTAATAATGCGATATGCCTCCCCTCTCTCTCTTCTTTCTCTCTCTCTCTCTCTCTCTCTCTCTCTCTCTCTCTCTCTCTCTCTCTCTCTCTCTCTCTCTCTCATATCACGGTGTCTTTCTGTCCCTTTTGCTCTCGTCGTCTTTTAGTTTCGCCTCCACGCAATAGTGCGGCGCGGCATCGTCGAGCAAGTACAAGCATACCGGGCCAAGCGCGCTCACTGGCTCGGTTCGCCGGTTAATTAGCCATTAAATATCAAGCAGCCGGCACGAGACTGCACGCAGATGGTATTTCGGATCAGTTAGAGCAGTTAGCAATGGGCAATTACGGATAATAAACAGACTGCGCGACTGCGGCAGCGGACGGTACGCGTGGCGTGTTATACGAACGGTCTGGAAAACGGAGCTGCGTTTATACAGTGCAAAAGTGCATAAAGATTAGAATACCATGAAATATAAAGGATTGCCAACGGTTGAGATCTGTTTTAATTATTTTCACGTCCTCAATATCCAACATAAAAAGTTAATAGCAGCCAAAATCGATTTTTAATTTCGAGATATGTGTTGAGGAAGTTAAAAATATTAAAAGTAAAAAAAAAGGTAGCACAGCTAATAATAGCAAAACATTTATTCCATGTTGGCAACCCAATTTCAAATAATTCTACTTCCAGCTAGATTTCAGCATTGTCCGTTTACAGTAACGTGTCGTTTTTTTTTGTTTTTTTTCTCGTGCGAATCGAATATTAAACGCAGCACAAAAATACGTGCGTTTCATGAACATGGAAATTCAGTATCGAGAATATATATTTACGATAATCAGTTTGCATTCGTTTCGAGAAGATTAATTAATCAGCACGCCCAAAATATCGAACTAACTGGATAAACCATCAGCATTAATATTTCAATATTCCCGCGCGCTACACGTGCGCGTTATCTACCTATTCGGGTCAAATCGTTAAATGTGAAAATCACCCTGTTCCGAGTTTTCTCGGATTTGTAGTATTCACAACGAAAACGTTCGATGTCGAACATGAGTGATCGATTGCACCGCGTTAGCATTCTCTCGTAGCAACAAGTCCATGTTCGTGTTAGGTAGTAATCGTTAGGTGGTTCATATTTTTCTCTCTCTTTTTCTCATTTAAAATGTATTTAAAATTATTTAAGTTTGTTTATTATTTATAGCTATTTATTATTTAAATAATGTTAAAAAATAACTAAAATTATCAGATAAGGAACTAAATATTAAAAAATTTCAAAATCTATCAAATTTAAAGCATTTTTCGATTAATTCAAACTCATTCTATTAATTCCTCTAATTGTTAAATTATTGTTATGTCATTGCATTTACTCTTCCTGCGACTCGCTCCAAGCATATTCTCTTATATACTTTCTCTTTTGGAATTGTCAGTGAGCAGATATCTTTAGGTTGTCTACGATCCACGTGAACCAAATCATATTTGTGGACAAGGGATTGCAATATATGTCGAGAGTGCGTTTCTTCTTACCTTTGGTAGGTTGCTTGAGGTCCACCCGGTGTCACGGCGGCGGTCGTGTTTTGTGTTGCGAGCGCGAGCTTCTGCTGTCGATGCTGGAGCATCTGTCTGCTGAAGACCCCGTATCCGAAGCCATAGATTTCGTCCTCCTCCTTGTCGCTGAGACAGCTCGAGGGCTGCACAAAAATGGAGAGGGTTCGCTCTTCTCCTTTACCTTATACAAGGCGCTGGGTTTTGCTTGCGAAGCAGTACGGGCTACCACTTACGTCGCAAGTAGGAGGGGCCTCGGGGATCGTATTAAGAACTCGTTACATGAAGCCAGTGTTGTTGTGCCGCAAAATTTTGTGAAAAGAGACCGTGTAGCCGGACGTGAGGGTCAATTTAATCCCCTCTTTGAAGACAACAAACTCGAAGAAAAGTCTTCTAATTATACAGGATGTTTCTTATATAACAATATACGTATCAAATTTTGAAGTAATTGTGGATTATAATTATTATTGTATATTATAGGATTTTTGTTATGTAATCGCAAGAGAGATGCATCAAAAACTTTATTTTTAATTTAATTTAATATAGAATTTATATTAAAACTTTTGATTCAAAATTTAGCTACTAAAATACTTAATGACAAAAATCAATTATTTATTATCGTTAAAATGAGTTTTTTTTTGTAGAATGTCCTGTATAATTGCAATTATACAAATTAAAAATTGTCAAATGTATTTTTATAATCCAAGTAAATTTTTTACAAGTGGGATTTTTAAATGCAAAAAACTTTAATAACGAAATATGTAGAAATTAAGAGAGAAAAAATTAAATGACACTCACAATCAGTCAATTTAATTTTCTGGAATATTGTGTAATGTTTCGGGGAAAAAATCTTTATTCATTTTTCAAATCGATTGTCGAAGAAGCTTGACCTTAATCGTCAATCGATTGCACGCGCTTGAAAACTCGATTAACCGCGGGGAAAGTCTAGGTAACGAACAATAACCGATTTAAGCCGATCGATAGGGTCTACATGGTTAATCGCCTTAAAGCACTTTGGAAAGTTACTCATGGAGGAGTCCCACGAACCCCCAAATGCAAAGTGTTTGAACTTCTGTGAAGTATTCTCCGTCAAATCTCTCTTTTGTAAGACACTATCAATATCAGGGATAAAAATATTAGCATAACATTTAGAAAATTATTTTACCCAATTTACGTATAACTATAGTTTGTACAATAATCCCCCGAATTTCTTTTTCAATATTATATTTTAATATTATAAATACATCCGTATTTTATGGATTGTTACAAGACCGTCTGCGTGTGACAATTTTCTCCGTAACAAAATTGTCTCTATCCATCGGAAAGAAACAAATGCTCGTCTCGAATCGACTGGACGTGTTCTTCTCGCGAGTTCCATCCCTTCGAAAGCAATTTGGCGAAGTGTCAGGGGAGCGGAGTAATAAGAAGAAATCGCGGCAATGGACAAGCTACTATATGTCACCCTATAACCGCATTATGTTGCCCGCGGAAGCAATAAAAAGGAGAGAATCGACGGAAGATAGGGCGGCGAGTAAAAGCGAATATGAGGGATTTGCTCACCGAGTATTTCCCGGGCACGTAAATGGGCTGTGAATGACTGGTGGTGAGCTGGTTGTTGGACATTCTGGAGGAAGCATTTGTTTCTCGCCTGCGCAGCTCCTCAAGCGGCTCCAGGACATCTCCGTAATGCGTTCTGAAGAGGTCTGCGTACCTTGAAGCGAGTCCTTCCAAATACCCCCTCTCGCCCTCCTAAACACACGATATGGAAACATTAAAAAGTCGTTGAAAACAATAATATACATGTATATATTGTATCATGCGGGTTTATCATTTGCTGTGTGGAAAGATCGGCTGCATTGTCATAGTTAATTAATTGTAATTACACGGCATGTAATTAATGCATCTTGCATCATTTATATGATAGAGTATAGAAATATTCATTATTAGTCAATTATATGTGCTATGGTCTAGAATGATGTGCAATCAAAGGGCGCTGTAGTGTTTTGAGCGAAATAATCTATAGAAGGCACTGCTGTCTGTACTTTTATTTTGGAAAATAATTATTGGCCATATTTTTTCAACAAGATTATTATATAGAAAATCGAGAATAGTTAAATAATATGTCTTTTTTTTTAATGAAAAAGGCGAGATCAACGTGCCGACGCGGTGGTATATGATTCAACAGACTAGCGCAAAGACGGACGTGAGGAGAAAGAAAAGTCAAACATCGGACGTACGGACTAAGAGAAAAGGAAGAGAACGGGCAAGGAAAACTAGTAGGAAACCGGAGGCAGCAAGGATCGGCGTACGACGAAGGTTGGTGTCACATTAATATTTCAGGATTCCACTTCCGCCGACTCTCGATTCGACTCCCGGACTCGTAGTAACCGTGGAAGGGCTATGTCCTTCCCTTTTATGGCTATGAGGGTAGAAGGGGAGAAGAAGGATTGTGGAACGAGGACGCTTTGTCTGGCGCGAGTCGCCTCCTATTTACACTTTAAACGCCCCCATCCATCCGCTTCCGCCGTCGCTGTCGCCTCCGCTAGGTGCCGGCAAACGATATTCCGCGGCTACCCGCGGTCGTCTCCTGGATTTAAATCCCATTTGTAAATATTCCCTTCGCGGCTGTGAGTGAATTACGTGGGAATTATGCCCGGCGCGAAGAAGCGGTTCATCTTCTACGCGCGCGTTCACTCCAATTTCGTGAAAAGCGCCGACAGTTTTCATGCCACGCTGAGCGAGCAGCTTTGTGACGAAGTTTCCTCGAAGACAAAAGAGAAAATAAGGAAAATATCTCTTGTATGTAATATTAATATATAACAATATATATATATATATAAATATTTTGCACACGCACAATAGGAAAATTATGTTTATTAGTAATAATAACCGAAATATTGTACATGCGCGCTCCACTTTTTCTCTCATTTCGAAGAACTCATTATTGGTAAAATTTTTACCATTGGGTAGTTTCTTGGAGAGAATGAGTTCTGCCGTGGTAAAATAAAACACGTAGAAAAATGGAACGTGCGTACGAAAAACGTGACTAATTCTCTCGAATATACGGCATACAGTACATTTCAACAATTCGGTACCCGTTTCGTAAAATTCTACGCAGCTGTCGCCAAACGCATGTTCCATTCGTCGAAAAAATTCACGACACGCGTAATGTCGCATTTTCTTGTATTAGTGTTGACGGAATTAACTGCGGCAAAATATGACGGATATTAAAATTGCATTGTATTATGTGATTATGCGCAGAATAACTGGATAAAGTGCAATCCACATTCAAACACTGACATTTTATTTAGTTTAATTAAAAAAATAATCAATCTGTCGCGGAAATTAGAATTAAATATTCTCTTAAACAATAATCAATCGACTTAAAATCCACTTTATATCGATCGGTCTGTAACAGAGACGCGTGACACGTAATATGCATTGGTACGCCAGATATTCAATGAATAGTCGGCAGAATGGAGTCATCAATTGCAGAGCGTCAAACGTCAAGATTTTCATTACGATATAATCTATTCCGACGACGGTCCCAGTTCGGGGAGGGTTAGAGAAGACATTAAGGCGAGTGTCGAAGACGCGCGAAGGATGAAACGAATGGAACGAGTCATCGTTCCGCCATTCCCTCCCCACTGTCACGTACCCATCCCTCTTCGCCCCTTTATCGATAATCCGCGAGTATTAATTAGAATTCCAATCTTCCGATTTAATACGATGTTCCCCGCCGCTTTCGTACTTTCCGCCAGTTCTTGTTCTAGCCTCTTCTCCCTCCTCACCACCTTTGCCACCCCATCTTTCTGCGCCCTCCGCCCCATCATTTCCCTCCGGGAGCTTAACGGTCAAACTGAAACTTTCAAATTGAGAGCGCATAAAGCGAACGAATTTTGCACGCGCGGGCACGACTCTTTGGAACTTTATTGCCTCGTAAATTAAAATTTCATCCATGAACGAATAATCGAGGAGTGATTAAAGTGTTCATTTTATCGAACCGCTTGGTGAAACGTCCGCAGAAATGTCCTTGCGGTCGGCACAAGATTCCTGTCTCAATTCGTCCTGATATTCCGTCGCCAAAACCTTCCGTGACGTTTGTTGTTACGTTTTCACTCGCAAAACAATATTTAGATAATTAGAGCTGAGAATTCGTTTCTTAATACAGAGATTTTAACAATTGACGCAAACATATATATATGTGAATAGCCGAGTTAAATAAAAAAAATCCGATTATAAAACGTAAATGTTCTTTTAAAATTCTATATCCTTTCAACGCATTGCATGGTTTTAGTTCTGGAAAAATCTATTCCTTTCGTATAACTTAAGAACGTAGAATTACCGGCAGAAATATAATTGCATAGATAGCTCGAACTGTTTTAATGAGCACAGAGGCTTGAGCGATTAACCAGGTTTTTTGCGGTGGACAATAAGATTCTTCAGAACGATGCAAAAACAGTTGGGATTTTTTGGACTTTTTTGTACAAACTAAATATCCGTACTGAGGCAAAAGTTAATTCTTCACCGTTATTCTACCTGAGAGCCATTTCATTCTAACGAGCTGTACAGCGCCGCTAGCTGACCCGAGTCGACACTACACGGACATCCGTCGAACAACGACGACCGCCCCCTCGGCAGCTCGATGACAAGGCGCACACCGTAATTATGTTTCGCCCTCCGTCGTGAATTTGCCGTGAAACTGTACGATACACATTGTTGTATGAAATGCCGTTCCTTCGCCGGAAAATTTTGGCGGATAATGGAGACATGTTCGGCATGACAAATAACGCTGCTTCGTTGTTGCAGTGTCTATCTCATTGTCCATCGAGTTATTAAAATAGTGCCGTATTAGCTGCAGGTGTGTAAAGTGGAATGAAAAAAATCGCCGGGAGAGGAAAAAATGCATGCTGATGCGTCCCAAACGAGCATTTATGCAATGCTCTCCGTAATGTAGTGCGACTGCTATCGCGTATATTCGTGCACTGAAATTTTTCACGGAACATCGTTCGCACGGTTGAGTATTACGTGAAAATGCACGAACCGAAAAATAACCGCTCTTTTACGTGTGCACGGCATAGAAACGAATTTTTCTGCGCAAAAGACTATCTCGCGTAGAAAGAGACTTATGCCTGAATTGATAAATAATGATAATTCAAAGTCGATAATGTTCTCAATTTTTCGTAGCACTAAGATCGAAGATCGCGCGTCGGAGAACAGAATGCGCTCACAAAGAATCGGAAGCAAGAATAAAATATACCTTAGCGCTATTTGTCCATCGCTCATTTCCGTTCACGGCGGGTTTCTTTCACGGCGATTCTTTCGGTTAACTTTCGTATCGCGCTTTTCCTCCTTCTTTTTTCTTCGCTCGCGCCGTCGGAATTCAAAGTGGTCAGCGATGCGCGCGCGATCTGCCTCGTTCAAGAAGATAAAGCCCAGGAACCCGTTAGCGGATAAAAAAGTAAGGGAGCGGATCGAAAAATCAAGCGCGTCCGTCGGTTCTCATATTTCCTTTGAAGTAGGCAAACCCACTTCCAGAGTGTTAACATTGCCGAGCGGCACAACTTTCCGGAAAATTATTTTACTCAGAGTAAAGGCAATCCCTATTGACTCGCCGCGATCGCTTCGACGAGGTTGCGGGATGAGAAGGGGCGGAGGGATGAACAGGAGGCGAGGAAGTGGAGGAGAACGACGGAGGCCGGGGAAGAAGGAGGCGCGGCTGTGCTGAGATAGAAGAGCGGAAGAAAATTGAAAAGTCAAGAAGCTCCCCCTCCCCCGACGTGCTCGCGGAGTTTAACCGCGTACTGCAAGACGAGCTTTACTCTTTCTTTTACTTCTCCTTCTTTTTATATCGCTCTATTTATCCATCTATATCTTTAGTTTTCCTTCTATCTCTCTCGCCTTCCCTCTTTCTTCGCTCTCTTTTTGCTCCTTTACATCTCATTTTGCGACTGTACCGGATCGTCACGGATACAGTTATCGCTCGTCGATTTCCTCGGAAAAGCTCATTGGTAGTTCCTTGACGACACGATTACAAACGAAGTATCGTGTAATAATATTCCTGATAAATTTGTAGTCGTTAAAAGTGATGTATATTTTTCATCAAACATGATCAAAGATATATCATATTCTCCCTCGAGCTTTCATCGATAGTTTGCTACGGATTAATTTTTTACATGAAAATTTATGAAGATTATTTAATTGATGAATACGTGAAAACCACCGGAATATTACATTCCAACTACTCCATAAATTACATTTAAATCATTATTATCAATAACAATTTATATTTATACGAAATCAATATATAATTAAACTATTTCATTTGATTTCAATATTTAAATTAAATGCTAAAATTAAATGTAAGTTAAGATCTCTGAATATGAAGTGTTCATTGTAAAATATTATTCACCATTGTGCCATTTTATTTCATAAATTACATTTAAATTGTTATTATTAATGATTTATATTTTTGAACAAAATCAATATATAATTAAACTATTTCATTAGATTTCAATAATATTTAATTAAATTAAATGCTAAAATTAAATGTAGGTTAAGATCTTTGAAAGTGAAGTGTCGAATGTAAAATATTCACCATTGCGCAAGTCATTTGATCACGCTATTTTCGTGGGAAAATGGTATTCCTGAGAGTGAACCGTTTCTCGTAGAAGCGCATATCGATTTCGGTCGCATACGAACGGCTCTTCTCACCCGGTTAAAATCCGAGGCGCGAAGTAGACGGCGTT